GTGGTATTTCACCACGACAATGCGAGACCACACATAAGTTTGGTCACTCGGCAAAAATTGTTGCAGCTTGGGTGGAATGTGTTGCCACATCCACCGTATAGCCCAGACCTTGCGCCATCAGACTTCCATTTATTTCGCTCCTTGCAAAACTCCTTGAATAGTAAAACGTTTGCTTCTGAAGACCTCATCAAACAGCACCTTGACAAGTTTCTCGCAGAGAAAGATAGGAAGTTTTATGAACGCGGTATTAGAAAGTTGCCTGAGAGATGGCAGAAGGTCATTGAACAAAACGGCCAATACATCATTGATTAATGTTCATTACGTATATTAAATAAACGCACCTGAAAATCAAATATAAAAAAACGCAATGACTTTTTGTACAACCCAATATATTCTGGTTGTTGCTAAAAAATTAAATATTCCCACAAAAAGTTAAAAAATTGTCAATAAAATATTGAATTTTAGAACCCACTTGCTCGAAGCACCCCCAAACGGCCATTTTGGCTCCTATTTAAAAACTGTTAAAATAGGTTTGAGAGTATCAATCTATGAGCATTTTAAGTCATTAATGACATTTATAAGTCTTAAATTGACAATTTGGCAGTCATTTGAAGCAACTTATGTTTGAAAATCCACCTTGAACCACCAGAATTTCCGGACCGGTATCTCGAGAACGGTTCATCAGTCCAACGTAAGATACATATTCGTTTTCTGCTTAGCAAGACCTTTAATTTATATGTTGATCCCAATATCTATCGCAAGGATTTTGGGGACATGCCCCGGGGACAGTTGGCCGGGGCAATTTAAGACCTATAGATGTGATTAATGACTTAAAATGCTCATAGATTGATACTCTCAAACCTATTTTAATAGTTTTTAAATAGGAGCCAAAATGGCCGTTTGGGGGTGCTTCGAGCAAGTGGGTTCTAAAATTCAATATTTTATTGACAATTTTTTAACTTTTTGTGGGAATATTCAATTTTTTAGCAACAACCAGAATATATTGGGTTGTACAAAAAGTCATTGCGTTTTTTTATATTTGATTTTCAGGTGGGTTTATTTAATATATGTAATGATGACATTAATCAATGATGTATTGGCCGTTTTGTTCAATGACCTTCTGCCATCTCTCAGGCAACTTCATAATACCGCGTTCATAAAACTTCCTATCTTTCTCTGCGAGAAACTTGTCAAGGTGCTGTTTGATGAGGTCTTCAGAAGCAAACGTTTTACTATTCAAGGAGTTTTGCAAGGAGCGAAATAAATGGAAGTCTGATGGCGCAAGGTCTGGGCTATACGGTGGATGTGGCAACACATTCCACCCAAGCTGCAACAATTTTTGCCGAGTGACCAAACTTGTGTGTGGTCTCGCATTGTCGTGGTGAAATACCACACCCTTACGATTGATCAGCTCGGGACGTTTTTGTGCGATGGCATCACTTAATTTCTGTAGCTGCTCACAGTAGACATCGGAATTAATCGTTTTATTCTTTGGAAGCAGCTCATAGAAGACTGGTCCCTTCCAATCCCACCAGATTGACAGCATCACCTTCTTTTGGTGGATGTCCTCCTTTGCTTGCCTTTCCGGTGCTTCATCTCGCCTACTCCAACTTCTTTTTCGGCTGACATTGTTGTAGACAATCCATTTTTCGTCGCCCGTCAACAACAAAACGCGTGTAAACATTTGACATTCATGTCACGCTCAGATACAAATAAACGTGGACAACGCCATCTATTGAAAAAAAACGCAATGACTTTTTGAACAACCCAATACATTTTATCAGCCATAGTATTAGCTTTAAAATAAACTATTGATCACAATTTTACGATAAGATTTGATTGAGATATCGCACTTTTTGTCAGCGAAAGTCACTGAAAGTGACTGTGCAGCTTTAAAAAAAATCACATTAATGAGCATGTATTTTGTATCCATTTTTTTTTTTTTTTTTTTTTTTTTTTTTTTTTTTTTTTTTTTTTTTTTTTTTTTTTTTTTTTTTTTTTTTTTTTTTCTTTTTGTTTTTTTTTTGTTTAAAACTCAAAATACACACTCATTAATGTAATTTTTTCCAAAGCTGCACAATCACTTTCAGTGACTTTCGCTGGTAAAAAGTGCGATATCAACCAAATCTTATCGTGATCAAATTGTGATCAATGGTTTATTTTAAAGCTAATACTATGGCTGAT